GGCCATTGTAAGCTCAGGGCTCAGGGTCGGGGGTCTCAGTGGACCACCTTGATTTTCCTGCACACCTGCTCCTGGGTGGCCAGGCTGGCAGCTCTCCTGCCCTAGACGGCCGCTTTCCTGTGCCTAGTGAGGAGGTCGTGGACGAAGTCCACGATGTCCGCACTAGACCAGGCAGGTGCCCGCCTCTTGCGGTCCCGGGCAAGCTCCCGGGAGCCGCCAGCCTGGGCCCGGGAAGAGGGGGAGGGCTGGGGGGCATCGGGTGGCTGGCTCGAGCCGTGCAAGGTGCAGGGTCTGCTGACTGGGTGTTGGCAGGCTTGCACCTGGCACGGGCACCGTAGCCAGACCGTGCCCCTTTAAGGGCTCCGGGATCTGGGGGGCATACGAGTTTCCCTGGTGTTGGCCAGAGTGGCCACCAGGGAAAGCTGGGGAGGGCTAGCCTCCCACTAGTTCGAATTAAGGGACTACACACCCCTTAATTCGAACTAGTAAGTTCGAACTAGGCTTAGTCCTCGTAGAATGAGGTTTACCTAGTTCGAACTAAGCACTCCGCTAGTTTGAATTAAGTTCGAACTAGCGGAGCGCTAGTGTAGCGCCTATCAAAGTTAATTCGAACTAACATCTGTTAGTTCGAATTAACTTTGTAATGTACACATACCCTGAGTGTTTAGACTTCAAATTCAAAATAAATAGAAATCTAGGTCTCTGAATGACTGAAAAATTGTAGCATTTCTGTGCTATTCTGGGCACTGTTTCAGGTTTTTCAGCACTCTGGCCACATAACAGACTTCCTGATTTTTAAGTGTCTGGAAATGTATGGGAATGCTTTAATTCTTCTTCAGTCCCACTTGTAACAAAAACTATTTGTAGTCCTCCTGTGACTGCTACACTTACAGCTTCTTCTGTTTTGAAAGGATCAGCCAGTTTCAGGGTTGTTCCCTGATCCAGATTTTCTGACTTTGTTCTGACACTGTGATGCTCCCTAAGTAGCGAAAACAGTCCTGGCTCAAGTCAGAGCTGGCTGGACCTTTGAGAACTCCACATAGGGGTAAAACTGGCCCAGCAAGTTCCTGTACTAACTGCCTCTCTACTCTGGCACAGGGAGGATGTCAGGGAAGGAAGGGCAGAGATGGACCAGAATGAATGGGAGTGAGGGAATGGCCCTAAACCCATTCACAAACTTTTGGCAGACCAGTAATATTTGGATATTTATTATGCAAATAATGAATATGCAAAAAAAGCAAATAAAACGTTACCTGCCCACCTGACCCCCATCCAGACCCTTGCTCCCAAGTGCCTAAAATCCTTTGAACCCCCAATCCTAAGCCCCGTGCCCTTTGACTCTTTAACCTATGACCCCAATAGCCCATGCCAATACCCTCTTGCCTCTTGATCCCACCATGCCCATACCCAACACCTCTTTTCCCTTTGACCTCACCCCACCCTTTACACTCCCCAGAGCAAGGCTGTTCCCTCTAGGGAGCATGGCTGTTACTGCCACGTGGGCAGGGGGAGCGGCCATTGGCAGCATGCCCCCTTCCTCCCCAAGCACATCTCTTGTCCCCATAGGTGGGGGGGGAGGGGACACAGCGCCTTGACCAGGCCACCATCTTACCTGGGAGGAGGGGGGAAGAGGGAGCCACCTCCTGCTCCACCTCCTATTGCCGCCGCCTCAGCCCCAGCACCACCACTGGGCAAAATCAGCCACCACAGCTGCCAGAGCTGAGCTGCTATGAATAGCCGGCTTTAGCTCTGGCAGCTGCCATGGCCCAGCAGCCAACAGTTCACGGACCAGCACTGGTCAACGGACCCGTGGTTGGAAACCACTGCTCTACGGTGCTACTAAACCAACACAAACTAGCAACCTTTCAGTTTTTGCCTGCAGCATCCACATGGGGGAATTAGAGCGCAGCACTTTGGGGCACACTGCTAGTCACACACTTGTATTTCCAACTGTGTGGCAGTGCAGAAATGCCCCCAGTCTGCAATTTGATTTCTGTTGGATGTTCCTGGAATTCACCATTGAATGCAAATGATGCAATAGAGTTCCTCACTGCAGAACTAAGAGACGCTTGTCCTGTGCCTCTGAAGTTACGTTGCTCCTATGTCCGGAAGCCATGACTTCACCTTCTGTTATAAACCTGTAGTCTCCTCCAGTAGCTACAGCAACTATATTTTAGTTTACTTTTACTGAGACAGTGATAGGTAGTGACAGCCTTCTTCCTAGTCACTACAAATAGGGCTGCTAGATACTCTCCGAAAGAATCCTGAACATGGCAGGGAAAAAAAAAGGCTGTGCCTTTAAATCCGACATTTTATAGGTCTGGTATTTTCTGGGGTTTTTTATTGGACAGGGGCTACAAATACTGGACTATCTGGATGAAAACAGGACACCTGGCAACTCTAACTACCCATAGAGACCATTAGGAAAAGATTCCGTTAGTCTGCTGCTTCAGTAAAACAGAGAGGGAACAGAATACCGCCCCTCTCCCCCATCTATAAGGCGATTGCTGAAGATCCTGTAGGCTGCTCCAACTCACAAGGTACAAACCACCATACTAAGTTTTCCAGTGAAGATACCAGTTTTCCCATGAACCTCAATAGATTTCTCCAAAGCATGGGAGAATAAAATTCCAGACTAGTTATGTTCCTACGGGTAACAATTTCTCAAGAAATACTTCATTGTCCTGGCATGTACAATAAACCAAGTTATCCATCCTGGCCCAAGAAAAAAAGCATCTTAGTAAAAATTGCTACAACTTGTAGTAAAAAAATTATTTAATTCTGTGAAATCCCTCCTTGCTAAATAGCCTTGCTTAAATAAATGAATAGGTCCATGATGAAAGAATTACCAGGTTAGGAATTATTCTATAAGATCTGTTAATACAGCAAAGACAAGACAAATTACAGAATCCTATAAAATCTGAACATACTACTATCTAAAACACTACGTAATCCAAATAATCTCACACCTTTTAGGACTGAAATGCAAACCTAAATAACAATGTCTGTATCATGTTTGGGAACATTAATCTTTAAGGTTATTTTATTCTGAAATGTACAGTTAAAAATCAGAAGCCAGGAGATTTCTCTGTTTCTATTCTATAAAGATACTTAAGGGATTTTTTAAAAATTATGATTTCCATATTACAGGCAGCTGACCCTAAAAATAAAAACATTATCAAATCATGAAAGGACATGAAAAAAAACCCTAAAGCATTGCCTGTTCAGAACTAATATGCATAGCATAGGAAATACTTGTGGCAATCCAATGTCTGTTGTGCTTGTGTTGCTCTTTTGACAATTTGTCTAAATTTGTAGCTACTAATGATGGAGCAGAGAGCAAGGATGCTAAAAGTTTAAAAGGCTAAACTTGCAGTAGAAATCACAACAAAGATTATGTACTAATATTGTATTTTTGTCACAGTCCTAAAAATAAGAGTACTGATTTCTCCTGCATTAGAAAGGTTCCAGGACCATCAGCCAACTGAGAAACAAACAACATTCAAAATCAAAACAGTCTGTGAAGCACTGGAAGGGGCTAAAGCAGCCTAAGTGAAATGTACTTACTTACTCACATTACCCACTGATCTCAAGGAGAGTGACTGTGTTATATAAGCACCTGACAGGTTTCTTTACTTTTTGCTCACTATGTTTTTAAAGAGTACAAGCAGTCCCCGGGTTACGTACAAGATAGGGACTGTAGGTTTGTTCTTAAGTTGAATTTGTATGTAAGTCGGAACTGGTACATATTGTAGGGGAAACTCTAGCCAAACATTTCTCCAGAGCTCAGTTTTATTCTCCCACACCTCACTTCCCTCAGGGTATTATTCTCAAGCTGAGGTGTCTGCTGAGAAAAGCCGCCCTGCGTCTCCCTGGTCTGCTGGGGGGAAGCAGCTAGTGCGGGGTTGCCTCACCCTGTTTGTAAGTAGGGATCCGATGTAAGTCAGATCCATGTAACCCAGGGACTGCCTGTACTCCCAAGTGCTGTTTTATAGCTTGGACCAGAGATGGTCTGGGAAGAAAAATAAAAAATAAGACTTTAAGGCTGGCATTGCAGTACAAACAGGAAGGGATCTAATTGCACAAACAGAACATCATTTCAAGGAAAAATGATTTCCGTTGTTTTACCAAATTTTTAAAAACACACCTATACTCACTGGCATACGTCTGTGCTACAAGTACATGAAGAACTTGGTCCACCGTTCCTTGTGCATCTCAAACTCCCATTGAGGTCAATGAACATTTGACATAAGAAAGAACACGGAATTAGACACAAAGAATGCTGAGTCAATTGGTCGGGAGCAACCCTTATGACAAAATATGCTATTCCACAACAATAGGTCAAAACCAAGCGACTTGGATTATTTTTTACTTCAAATTGTCCCAAAGAATTTGTCAGTGTTTCATTAAAATTTATTACCGTTTTTAAACCATCTCTAGACCATAATGCTACATAAACATGGTTGTAAACTGTAGTGTCAATACTGGGGTTAGATAAGCGTTTCCAATATCCAGGCGTTGCTCTATTACAAAAACTGGGCACTGTTTTACCAGACTACAAGCACCCTCAAGCTCTGACACTCAGCAACCCCTGGTTTGAACAAAGGAGTAACAAAGGAAAGAAGCAAAGAAAGAAAGGGGGTTGCACTAATCTGGAATGAAAAGGATTTTTCAACAGCAGGTAGCATTTGGCACAGTCAGCAAAAGCCCTTAGAGGCCCCACCTTCCTCCAATCTTTAATGCCCCTTTTAAATTGATCTTTTAAAATGGGAACCAGACAGGTTCAGCTGTGCCGCTTCCACCAGTAATTTCATACTTGTGTCGAGTCAATTCCATGAGAACTATTTATTTCTCTGTTCTGTAACACTGTGGGGAAGGACTTGTCTCTTGTTTGGCCTTCACATTATCAATGGAACAAGAAGCATCTTTAAGGTCTCTACAAATCCATAAATATTTTCCCCTTTCTCCTTTGATTTTCTTTTTGGAGAACGTGGAAATTAAAATGAAGAGGATCTTCCATGTCTTTCCTTATGGCCCTTAAGTGGAGGACTGGAGTAACGGCTCACACTGTTCTAGCTGCATTCTCAATACTCCATTTTTATGGAGAAACCAGAGCTGTAGAAACTCCTCAGGCATGGCATGGAACCCAGAATCAGGCAGCACATTGTCATAGTAATGATGGCTGATAAACCTCCCATGCAGGTCCACTGAAAAAGGCCAGAAGCCATAGATGGTTACTTCTTCACATAGACCTAGGGCTGCGCTAACCAGGAAGAGGCCTGTTGAAAGACGCTTGGCATGGATTCCTTTGCTCTTCCAGAACTTGCCAATGTCACGCAGGAAGTTGGGATTGGCAAAGAGCACTGTCTGGTTGGCACCAAAGTCCTCCAGGGTGTAGTAAACCCGTAGGGATGGCTCTGTCCCCGTCTTCATAGAGAATGCTGGCATGTAGATGTAGCTATGGTTATAGACTTTAACACTGTCCACAAAGGTTTTTCTAGACCAAAGCAGGTTTTGGAATCTGTGGAAACAAAACAAACGCATGGAAGGTTACATGTATTTTCTTGGCCATTTCAGAATCCAGCTCAAAACTGACCTTCATGTATTTACCCCAATGCATGGATTTTCTCTAGTCCACCATGTGAACTGTTTCTGCCATTGTGCCTAGCCATTCCCTTTGCTTGTTAACACTGGTCTCCTTTGTCCCTTTCTCTAGTGCTGTCTGGACCTGTCTTCCTGTATCTCTCCATTCCAGCTCTTTTCAAATCTCACGTGGAAAGGAGCCTTTTCTCTTTCCTGAGCCTCTAAATCTCTCAGACTCTCTGTTATTGTTTATTATTTAAACTCCAGGGAAAACAATGGGCTTGCAGTTGAGGCACTGGCCTGTGACTCAGGAGAGCAGAGTTTGGTTCTTGCCTCTCCTACAGACGATGCAATTCTGGGCAAACTGCTGAAGGTGTGTCTACATTGCAATAAAAACAATCTTGGCACTGAGTCTCAAAGACCAGGTGAAACTGACTCAGGATTGGGATGGAGGGCTAAAAATTGCAATATATCTATATTTAGACTCGAGCTGGAGTCTGGGCTCTGAGACTTTCCCCCCTTGTGGGGGTTTCACAGCTGAGGCGCCAGACTGAGCCCAAACACCAACACCAAAAATTTTAGTCTCCACAAGCTAGAGACCAGTAGGCCCAAATCAGCTCACCTGGTCAGCTATGGCCAGTATTCTCTGCAGGCTCTGCACTTGTGTGGCCACTCAGGATAGATTCAGATGCCACCCAGTTGATTAACAGAGTGTAGGTCCACAGCTGCATTATTTTGGAATAACTGATACTATTCCAAAATAACAAAGAGTGGCTGTGTCTACACTGCACCCCTTTTCCGGAAAAGGGATGCAGATTAGACACATCGGAATAGCAAAATCCGCGGGGGATTTAAATATCCCCCGCGGCATTTGCATTTACATGGCTGCCGCTTTTTTCCGGCTTGGGGATAAGCTGGAGAAAAGCGGCAGTCTAGACTTGAAAGTAGGAAATAAGAGATCCTCTAGAAAAGGGCTTATTTTCCGGAGAATCACGTCTAGACTGCCGCTTTTCTCCGGCTTATCCCCAAGCCGGAAAAAAGCGGCAGCCATGTAAATGCAAATGCCGCAGGGGATATTTAAATCCCCTGCGGATTTTGCTATTCCGATGTGTCTAATCTGCATCCCTTTTCCGCAAAAGGGGTGCAGTGTAGACACAGCCAGTATGTCTACACTACTAACCTTTATTTCAAAATAATGTCAAGCTGGAGGACTTCTTACTCCAACTCCTGATAACCCTCATTCCACGAGGAGTAAGGGAAGTCAAAGGAAAAGTGTTATTCAACTTCCTGTTGTGTAGACGGTGCCAAAAGCCGATTTAAGCTATTTCGACTTAAACTACGGAACTGATGTAGCTGAAGTTGCATAACTTAATTTGACTTTAGCACAGCTGTGCAGACGTACCCTAGAGTGTCCACAGTTAGTTGCTCATTCACACATGCCTCCGTACACATTAAAAAAATGATTCTGTACGTGGGTGGAAAAAATCCATACTTGGATGGAAAAGATTAGAGGGAACATTGGCGACGGGAGCTCTGAGCCTCTAACTGGGAGGGGCTGATTAATCACCTGTGAAGCTGAGCAGTCACACAGCTTAGAGGGAACCCTAGTGCAGATATATTTCAAATCTCTGTACCTTAATTCCTCCTCTGTAACATAGGATATTTCTGTATCTCTAGGCTTTGTAGGAAAAATCCATTGATGTTTGTGAGGCAGTCAGATACCACAGTAATGGGGGACATAAATCAAATATGAAATATGAAAACCATTTTTGGGATAGGGTTTATAAAAGAAAAATAAACAAGCATATTGTAAAAATGGGCTGAGCTTGTTTAGGTAAGAATTAAAGCCAGTCCATTTTTTTACACTGTAAAAACTGACAAATTCTATTAAAATTTTTAGCAGAAATGTTTAATATTTCAGCTAAACTGCAAACAACTGGAAAATTTTCAGTTTTCTAACGGGGGTAGAGAAATGAGATTTTTTTTTCAGGAAAGCAGATATTTCTATATTCTCTTTGTATCCCAAGTACAAACATTCTGTCTGAAAACTTTTGGACAGGTGATTATTTTTTTACCAGACCAAGTAAAAATCCTTGTTTATGCTCTTTAATAGTGACTAAAATTAAACTAAATTTAAAGGAGCTCAGTCAGATACTACATCAACAGCAGTAAGAAATATTTATATAACCAAAATGCATTCAAAAAGCCATAAGACACCATTTGTTTTGGTTATATCTTTAAGATTGTTTAAACATGGTGTTGGAGATTTACATTGCTTCTGATTCTGTTTCTGGAACTACAAGGACTCACCAGGCACTGAGCAAAAACAAGCATAGAAGCCAATGTGCTATTTAGGATAAAAGGCATCACAAAAATCCTAGCCAAAATGACTAAGCTAAACTCAGACTCAGTATATAAGATGGAGCAAGATGCATGTTGTTAAGTAGGTTTAAAGGTAGACTATATTTCTAGATTACAAGTTGACGAGCCAGAATAAGGTACAAGTTAAAGTAAAATAGCTCCTATTGGCAACTACCAGGATGATGTAAAATGGTACAGTATCAATTTTTGTGTGTGTGCTAAAGCACAGCTCTGACTTCTTGGCATGTAAATTACATTGGGCTAGACCAGTGGTCTGAGTATGAACCTAGATGACCTGTAGCAGTTGATCGTTTAACACCTTCTATCAGATAGAGATGCCTAAATATGATAGATTGTCCATAGCCTCCAACATTATAACTACATTTGAGCCTAATTCTAAAATGTAGGCTCACTTTCTTTTGAGCATTTTGAGCATCTCCCCATTGAAGAGAGCAGCAGAGAAAGGGATAGCAGGGAGCAGCAGAGAAAGCCATATAGCTATGAGATCACAGCTTTGTGTTTAACAGGGTGGCTTAAAAAATGCTATTTAAAAAATATACACCAATGCATATTTAAATACATATTATATGTAATGTCCTCGATATTTGTATTAACAATTACTGTAGCTATTTGGGGCAAATTCTGTTTTCAGATATTGGAATACAGCTACCAGTAATCTCAAAGGGAGTTACAGTGGCAGCACTGCATTTGACACACTTGCAATTAGTGATCGCAGCATTCTCTTAGCCTCTTGGATCTCCCTGGAAAACAACAGCCTCATGGTTATTATGATATGCCAGTCACTCGCTGGGCATGTGGCTGCCAAATCACAAATTCAGCATTAAGGATTAATTGCGGGTTCGGTTGTGGTATGTGGATGTATTGGATTCAGAGAAAATAGCTCTGATGCCAAATAAGAAATACTGTATTTTTAATTAAAACAAGCGGGGGGGGGGGGGGGGGTAGGAACAGCATTCATGATTTGTGCATTTTCCCTCTACTATGAAAGTAACTCTGTAAAGTTACCCAGATTTGTCAATGCCAGGGCAGTCAAATAACTGGTTAGCTCTTTGCTGAAGCACATTGCCAGTCTAATGCCTAGGCTGATAGAAAATGCTTAAGTTGGAGCCTTGTTTCCTGCTGTCATATTGTATGTCAATTAACCAATCAAGGTCAGCCTACAGTCACACACTTGAAGCTATTTTGATGCTATGATCTAGAAGTTTGATCACACCGATAGATGGCTCGTTTCCAACTGAGTTCAGAATTCCATCTCCAGCTAGTAATACCCTACTTACTCATAGGGTATGTCTACATTACCCTCCTATTTCAAAATAGGAGGGTAATGTAGACATACCCATACATATTATGCTTGTCTACTTGGCCAACATGCCCCTTTTATCTCCTTAGTCTTCCTCACACTACACAATTCAGTCACTATTCAATAGCAAACTCAAAACCGATTTCACACCCTTATGCAGTAAATGCAAAAAGCAGAACACTTTTGGGTAACTAGAAGTGGAGGAAATGAGAGTCATTGCTTTCAATTCAACGTTAGTTCGAATTAACTTTGATAGGTGCTACACAGGCAAACCGCTAGTTCGAACTGAATTCAAACTAGTGGAGCGCTTAATTCGAACTAGGTAAACCTCATTCTACGAGGACTAATGCATAGTTCGAATTAAGTAGTTCGAATTAAGGGCTGTGTAGCCACTTAATTCGAACTAGTGGGAGGCTAGCCCTCCCCAGCTTGCCCTGGTGGCCACTCTGGGCACCACCAGGGAAACTCTTCTGCCCCCCTCCCGGCCCCGGAGCCCTTAAAGGGGCACGGGCTGGCTACGGTGCCCGTGCCAGGTGCAAGCCTACCAGCACCCAGCCAGCAGACCCTGCA